GCAGGATGTGGGATTCAGGATGAGGAACCAACGATGGGTTGGTAGGGCAGACAGATGGCTAGAGTAGATCTGAATTGCCACTGTACACCTGAAGAACGTCCAGTGCCTTGGGAACACCCAGGTGGTGATGCCCCAAGAGCGGCTGTCCACAACGGTGTGGAGATCTGAGAGGGTTAAGGTCAAGGACAGAGACAGAGCGGGCTTCAGCTGCAGGCGGCAAGGGGTTCGTGTAGAGAAAAAATAAACAAAGAAGACTCATATGTGTATGGAATTACGTGTAAGATCAGAGGAGAAAAAGTACAGTGAAAAACCCTAAGAAAGAGGGATCAAAGAGACAAGAGGCGAATCATGAGAGCGGAGGGCTCAAAAGCCAAAAGGAGGTTAAAATTTCAACGAAAGACTTGTCGCCAGTGCCAAATACCACAGAGCAGTCACAAAGGGCAAGAACAGAAGAGAGGCCACTGGATGTGCAAATCACTGGTGACATTTCCAAGAGCAAAAGAGCAGAGTGATGTGGGAACTATTTCCTTCATGCTTCTGGCCAGAGTGTTTACCAATAAATCAACTCCTTTTATAGCTTGGATTTAATTCTTTTCTGTCAAGGATTATCACTTCTCATTTTATACATATGTTATCACTCAACACTAAGAAATTCTGCTTTCCGAAGGGCTGCCTCAGAAGAATCAAAATTTAGCTGGATGTGTTTTCTCTCTACCCCTCAGCCTTCCCTGCACTCCCCCTAACTTCTCAGGGGACCCCAGTGTTACTGTTTTTCAGGGTTCGTGGTGACCCTCTGGCAGTGGGGGCACTCAAGGAGTTTGTTCACTGAATGTGAGGGGAAGGACTTTACGAAGTGGGTGGAAAGTCTTCTCCTACATTGGAAGTGTAGTAAATAGCTTCTTCAAAACTAAATATAATCGTTTATATTTAAACATTAAATGTAACTAAGGGAGAGCGGTGGCCTACAGTGTAGTATGATGAGAAAAGCGTGGGCTTGGGAATCAGACAAGCCTAAAAACGGAAGCCCTGCTAGCAGTATTTCATGCCTGCAAAATAGGACCATCTCCCTCACTTCATGGGGCAACTGGAAGAGCTGAACTAAATAATTTACATAAAGATCCAATCAGAAGGCTCTGAACAGAGCAGGGCTGTGGTAACTGGTAGCAGTCGGTATCAGTATTAGCTGTTAGTTATTCGTCTTATAAGCTGCTGATTCAGATACTCAAGACAGAAAACTACAATAACTCGCCGTCCGAATTGCGCAGGAAAACCTCTCCTTTCATCTAGTGAGGTCTCAGCACTCACATTC